TTTAATCTATGGTTTAACATTTTAAGTAATGTTTTATGCATTAGAATATATTCATTGTAAAAAGTAAAACATTTCTATCTTAAGATTTTTTATAATTGTTCTCTATAGCTCTTTGGGAATGAAATTGCTTTTATAATATATAACTCTATTGTTTTCAAGACTCAATGTCTTTCAAGACATTCACCTATCCATACACATTTTTAAGAGTATGTATCCAAAAATTGGATGCTGTAATTAATAATGAACTAGATCAAAGATTAATAACTATTAAATATAATAAAATGGGAAAAGAGTAACAAAATTTTTGCTAAAATAATTTTCTATCTCTGAAAAAAAAATCTAATTGTTCATAAGATTTATGGGAGTGTTTAAGCTATGGCATTTGGTCTATAATTGACAAATATTTCCAGTTGAATCTGCTTTTAAGTTCTGTCTTCTTCAGAGAAGAATGTTCATGAACAGTCTTCTGTTGACATGACAAAAATAAAATTATATTGTTTCAAATGTAATTTATAATTTTAGTATTTTTCTATGTTTAACATAGAAAAATACTAAAATTATAAATTATATAATTCTTTGAACTGAGGCATAAAACTGAATGTAAAAAATGATAGAGGATCTTCATTTACATGCTAGGTCAAGAATATTTTATTGAGTTGGTCAGAATGTTAGTGTTTTTTTGCTTTCTCTTTACAGGTTAAAACTGCATGAACTTTTTGACAAACTCAATATCTACTAATTAAACAATCAATATGATGTGCAAGATTATGCAAATATATCATAATATAAAAAAGATGTATTATTATACTAATTGATTAGTGTGATTATTGAGTGAATTAGTATTTCATATTATTGAACTTTAACTCAAAGTTTTAAGATATTGTTGATTACTTTAGAAAAATTTTAACCAAAAACAAAAAATTGACTTATACAGTAGGGTCCTGATTAACTGAGACCGATTTATTTCAAATTTTGAACTCTTCCACAATTCATCTTAGAAGTTTTACCAATACTATACAAATGAATTAATTTTTAAAATTTCTAATCTTTAAAATTTCTTACTATTGTAAGAAATTTTAAAGACATTTAAATATGTTTTATAAAACATACTTTTACAATAAAACACTTAACTTTATTTACAATTTAAAAGTTTTATGCAATAAGAAGATTTAACCAGAAAATGATAAATTATATGCATGAGATCCTCGTGCTACCTCAGATAATTGATTTTATTGTGAATATATATATTTACAATAAAAATCATTATCATTAATTAGTTTGACATAATCATAAACAAATTAATGCAGATCAGTATTGAATATAAAAAGTAGTCTTTTTTTTCTTTTATTTAAACTTGGATCAGAAATTGATTTCATCTCATATCTGAATCAAAGTAATAATGAGATTTAATAGTAAATGCATTTCTTTAAATCCTGAACAGGAAAAGATGCAAATCCTGAACTAAATGATGATATCAGTTGAACTCACAAGCTATAAAGTTTTGTACTTTCAAAAGCCAAAACTTCAACCCATCTAGAGTGTTTTTAATATAAATTTATTTGGAGAGAAATTAGAATAAACTGTTATCATTCAAATGATGTTATTGCCACAAACTCTCTTTTGACAACAATATGATTTAAATTTGATCACTGTACTGACCTTTATATCCTACTTATTAACTCTCAATACTTATAACTAAAGAGATAAACTCTTGTATAAACACATCAGACCCTATATAGACACTGTAACTTTTTAAAATTTTACATATATTAATTTTAAAAATGTGCACACATTACCATATTTTCATTGATTTTTGAATCAAGTTGAACAATATTATGATGTAAAGAGCATTAGTTATATCTTATAACCAATTTTAGTTATATTGAACATATTTAGGATGCTCTAAAGAAATTTGTTGCTAACTTCTGATCTTTGTAAAACTTTTAAGAATTAAACAGTACTTTGACAGAATAGTAAATGCTAGTGCTAGGAAAAACTACTGAAAATCATGTAAAAAAATTAGTAACTGCTTTGCAAAATTATTTTGTTGTGGTGATCATGTTTAAATCTTGTACTTTGTGTACAGAATTTTGTCTGCTTGAGTGTCATAATTATTATATTTATAAGTAGTTAACACTGTAAAACAGAGATTAATTAGTAATACACAATATGATATAAAGCCATGTAATTAAAAAAGTACATAGATTTATATTAGAATGTGTTGTGTTAGATTACTTTTTTGGTAATCTAACTAATCTTTTTTGGTAATTTTTATAAGAAATATTTAACTCAGTTTGCAATATAAGAAGTTAATGATATGCATACCAATTATTCTAAAATAAATATACAGTTAATTTAAGTCCAAATAACAGTTATACATATTATAAAAGTTCTCTATTTATATAATCAAAATAAAATGTAATATTCTATAATTAGTATCATATACATAATTACTATACATCTATTTTTGGATAATAACTTTTAGATATGAAATAATCAGTTTGATTTATTTTCCTAATTATATTAATTTAAATTTGATTACTTCAATAAAAGGAATATAATGACTAAATAATACATATTCTGATTGAATGGTATTTTGATAATGTAATAGCATCTTGATTCCACAATATAATGACTTTATATACTTTTTTTCTACAAGGAAAAATTGTTTAAACTGGCAATTAATGCATATTAAGTCACATTACTAATGAAATTTAATTCATATACTGCTTTCACACATTTTAGCAATAAATAGTTTATAGTGAATTTGAATTAAGTCATATTAGATTGAATATTTCATTAATAAAAAAAAAAATAGTTCTCTGAATTGATATTACAAGGAAAAACATTCTGAAACTTGCAAACATTTTTACTTGATCTTTCCAAAGCTTAAATAGGCATGTATATGTAGAATGGAACAAAACTCATTTAAATTATTTCTAATATATAAAACAAGTAAGTTATATTATAGAATAAATAAATGTTTATTCTTATAATCAATATTACTCATGCATAATGTAATACATAACTTCAATTTTGATATTCATATAAAATTTATCATGTTTGTCTTTATTGCAAATGTTCATGTATATCCATAAGAAGTAAAACTGTCAAGCTGTGTTTATAATTCAGATTTATCAGTTGAAAAAACAATTCTAAACATGTTTGTTTATTTATATTTTAAAAAATTTTCAATATATGAGGATAGATTGATAAATAAGATTTCCACTTTTATAAAATTAGTTTGGGAAGAGGTAGACTAATATGATCAGTTTTAAAAATAGTAAAAATAATTAATTTCAATTATATTTATTTTTCAACATAATCATCATTTCTAAATGGTGATTATGTTGAAAAATAATTATGTTGAATCCTAATTTGTTCAATCTATTTTTGCTTATCTATTCTGTACATGGAAAAACTTTCTTATTTCTCTTTGATCCTTCATTTTTTTACAGCAACTTGAACATTAGCATTTGAAAAACATTTGTCAATCAATGTCACCTTTTAATTTCAGGAACCTGAAAGTAAGGAGGGTACTGAATAATCTATAACTTCAGATTCTTAAGTGTCTTTACTGTTTCTGTACTATGTGCATTTTCTTGTTTATATGATTCAAGAAAGCATTTTTTTAAAAAATCCTTACAGGTATCAAAAAGACATATTTGCAGAATAAGGTTATACACTATTTCACATCAATTATTTCTTTTTTTTTTTTTTTTACAAAACTTTTTAGACCTAAAAAGCTCTAAAAAGTTTTTTAAAAGTCACTTGTCACTTCTTTGAATGGAATAAGGAAGATACATTTATGGTTAAAATTGACTGTTACACAATGCAACAGAGACTGAACACAAACATACTAGATACTTGTGGCTAATTTGATGATAGTCATATGCTTCTGTTTTCACACTTTGCAGAATTCTGTAGAGGGAGACCTTATACAAAATAACTCATTTTTATTTTTGTAATTACTAATACACTCTAATTATTTAAATATTTTAATGTAAGTTGTTGTCTTTATTAGAATTGATACATAGATTAAAAATAAATAAGATTTTTTTTCATTTTGATATCTTCTCTCTCAGATAAGCAGTATTGACATAAATTTAAAGGGTCATTTTAATTCTTAATATTCATGATTTTATTAATAAGCAATTTTTGAAGTATGACAATTTTTAAATTTATATACAGTGGTACCTCGGTATACGTCTGCTTTAGAATACGTCAAATTTGGAATACGTCCTGTTTGGACGAAACAAATTTTGCTCGGTATACAACTTTTGTTCGGTATACGACTTAATTCAATTATACGCGCCATCTATGAACAAGTAGCACTATCGGTGTACTAGGCCAGACTAGACGTTCGCAGTGCCACAGTTTATAACTTTGTTAAATTTCTTCTGATTTTAATTTGTAAGTAAAATTTTATTATTTTTATTAATCATGAATTGCAAAAAGGCAAGTGAAAAGCAACAGAAAACTAAAAAAATGACTAGAATCATAATGGAACTGAAAAAAGAACACTGTTGAGAAATATGAAGGTGGCATGCGTGTTCGAGATTTTAACTGTTGCATACCGTATTCCGAGAACGGCGATATCGACAATTGCGAAAAATAAAGATATTATTAAATCTACTAACGTTGCGAAATGAGTTAAATCAATTTCTAAACAGAGATCGAAGACATTAGATCATGTTAAGAAATTGCTTTTGCTTTGGATAACTGAAAAACAGTGTGCTAGAGACAGCGTATCAGAAGCAATTATTTGTGAGAAAGCTAAAAAGATACATGCTGATCTCACGAAAAATCAAGCAGGAAAGCGAGGTGTTTAAAGCCAGCCATTTTTTTTTCATGAGAACGGATTAATCATTTTTGCATTACTTCTTATGAGAAAAGTTGGTTCGGTATACGTCCTATTCGGTATAAGTCCAAACATCAGGAACGGATTAAGGTCGTATACCGAGGTTCCACTGTATTTTGTCAGAAGAATCTTTATAATAATGTAAGAAATTTTTTTAGGTCGGATGCCAGGACAGTTAAATGTGCTTTTGGCAGAAGCTGGTGTTCCTTACGATATTGTTTTAGAAATGGATGAAATCAATCATGATTTTGATGAAACAGATTTAGTTTTAGTAATTGGTGCTAATGACACGGTGAATTCTTCTGCAGAGGAAGATCCAAATTCAATTATTGCTGGAATGCCTGTATTGAGAGTTTGGCTTGCTAAACAGGTATTTTGATTTGATTTGATTTTTAAAATGTTATCCTTTTATTTCAACACAAATTTATTTAATGTAATTTAATATTTATAGGTTGTTGTGATGAAGAGAAGTTTAGGGGTTGGCTATGCTGCTGTA